CCGTGCAAACTTATATTTTTTCTAAGAAAGTTTATTACCGATTTGGCGGATGTGCTTGATGTTATTTGTGCCGTTGGGATTTTAGAAAATCGATCAACGCATACGAGAATGTGTTTTTTTTTATTCCCCAAGTTACTGGTAGAGGGCCGGCAAATTCTAATCCCATTTCTTGATTTGTTTCAACGACCGATGGGAGTTTTCCAAGGTTATCATGTTTTGTCAGTGGCTTCAAATTTTTACCTGCTTTTACACACTCGATACAATTTTCTCCATGTACTTGAATTTCTTCGTAGATTTTCGGCCACCAGATGTAGAGGGTTGCCAGACTTTTTATTGCAAACTGGCCTGGTTGACCTTCATGTAATTTGAGTAGGATCCTCGTCCTCAAGGTATAACCACTCTATCGTCAAAGTAAAGGCATCCTCGTTAAGTTGCAAGTTTTTGATGTAAGGTTTGTAACAGTTTCCCTGGTGTAATAAGTAATGTTTTCTGTCTTCTTCGATTGCTTTTATAATTTTTTTTAATACCAAGTGTTGCTTCGAAAAATTTAGAATCAAAAATTTCAGGCCATGAGAACGGGAATAGCTTGTGTTTAACCGGCTTAGAACTTTTTTCTTTCGTGGGGTTTTACTCAGAAGATGTACCCGACTAGTACTGGGTTTTAAGGTTTGGGCAATGTTTTTAGTTGAGTTTTCAGGTTGTTCAGTTACTTCCTGTTGATCAGACGTATCTTTTTAAGTCTTTTAGTTAAAAGAAAAATCGATAGCTTTACAAGATGGAATGCAGTCTTCTGTTCGCGAATGTAAATTTTGACACACAGAAGTTTTGAATGTGTAATTATAGATTGCAAAGTTTCTGCAGCATTGGCAATTTGTTTCTCATGTTCTAATTCTTGACTTGACATACAATTAGCCGATTGGCCAATCACTTGCAGTGTATGAGGTCATGAGAGAAAATTTGTTGCGAAAATTTGTTCCTTAAATGCGGACGAGAATATCTAGGCATCAGATATTCGAAGCATGAAAGATTAATTATTTGATTGACGGAAGCAATAACGATTTTTTTTGTCATCGTAGGAGACTGGAATGGGTTCACTCGATGGGTGTCTAGAAAGATAGTCCACTAATCCCATTTCCTTACCCGGGAGATGCTCAACAGTAAAATCAAATGGTAGATTTTTATCCGCCCAACGGGTGAGGCGGGATTGAGCCGTCTTAATGTATTTATCATCTTTTAAAGCCCCAATTAAGGCTTTATCATCGGTTAAGATGAAGAAATGCTCACCCAACTTGTAGTTTTTAAAACGGTCTAACGCCCAAACTAAGCCCAACAATTCAAGTTCTTTCGTGTTGTATTTTAGTTCAGCTATATTAACGAATCTACTCATGAATTATTTGATTGACCCGTCTCTTTTTGCTATAATGACGATAGGGGAGATAAAACAATCTTCCGATTATCTGGAAAGTTTTTCGATATGCCCGTCTCTAAGTCCTTGATCGATGCATAATTTCAATTTGGGGAGTATGTGGATCGCTATGCGTTTCTCTTTTACCTGTATCAGTTTGATAGATTCAATAAAATAGGTGTTCACGATAAAATTTTTGATCTATCGGTTATTTTAAGAGGTCAGGGAGTCGGCCTGATTTAAAAAATTCGAACTCACGTTGAATTGGTGTGTCGACATGTTGACATGGTTTTCTATCCGTTTCAAATTTTATCTGGTTGACATCTATCACGACGGGTGGTTTGCTCGGGGCCTTCCGTACATCTAGCACTGTGGGCGATGCCTGCTTCTGTAGAACATCAATTCCTAAGTTCGGTAGTATATCCTTTTCCAGAAGATTTCTTTCTGCCCCTTCAGTGATAAACAATTATTGATCCTTGCCATCCCATCCTTTTGACTGAATCCTCACTATACCTTTTCCAATGAAATTTATCGTACTCCCGAAGCCATGATTCTCCCAGTTTGTATTTCTCCCAATTTATGGCTAAACCTTCATGGTCTAACGTTTTTAAAACGTTAATAACTAATTTGCGATGCTCTTCAGCGCTGCCTACGGTAACAATTGAAACGTCATCTAAATAACAGTGTGTATTAGGTAAATTTTCCGTCAAATGGTCCGTTATACGTTGAAATTCATTAAGCATATCACCCAGTCCGTACAATCCAGTTTTGAAGCGATATGATTCTGTGACGTGTCCTCCTACGATATTAAAACTTGCAATGGAAAGTTACTTTTTTAGATAATGGTATCTGGCTGTATGCATATTTTTGGTCAATAGATGAGAGCTAAATTTTGTTTTCGTCAATCTTACTAGTTGTTAAATCGACATTAATATTTAATTAAAACAGATCAGGCAATTGGTATCTGTTACCAAAAATTCTGTTTATTAAGCAGTTTTGAGTTCAAGGCCAGTTTGATTGACCCGTCTCTTTTTGCTGTAATGACTATAGGGGAGATAAAGCAATCTTTCGAACATCTGGACAGTTTTTCGATATGCCCGTCTCTAAGTAACTGATCGATGCATAATTTCACTTTGGGGAGTATGTGGATCGCTATGCGTTTCTCTTTTACCTGTATTGGTTTTATAGGTTCATTAAAATAGGTGTTCACGATAAAATTTTTGATCTACCGGTTCTTTTAAGAGATCAGGGAGTCGAACTGATAAATACAATTTGAACACACGTTGAGTTGGTGTGTCGACATGTTGACAAGGTTTTCTATCCGATTCAAATTTTATCTGGTTGACATCTATCCCGACGGGTGGTTTGCTCGGAGTCTTCTCTACATCTAACACTGTGGGCGGTGCCTGCCTTGTAGAACCTCAATTCCTAAGTTCAGTAGTATATCCTTTCCCAGAAGATTTTTTTCTGCCCCTTCAGTGATAAACAATTGTTGATCCTTGGCATCCCATCGTTTTGACTGAATCCTCACTATAACTTTTCCAATGAGATTTATCGTACTCCCCAAGCCCTGATATGCTTTTTTCGTGAACTCGTCGACTACTTCTATCTTTAAAAATTTGTGTCTTATTTTCTATTCACGAAGTAGGTCTCTCTTCATAAACGAAACTGGGCTTGCTGAATCGATTTGTATTTTGGTAAAGTAAGGTTTAAAATTTCCCCTTGATACCATAAGTGTCTTTTTCAGTTCCAGACCTTCAAAATTGAATACAGTTCTTCTCACTCCCCCTTCAATTTTTTCTTTCACCGCGTTTACTTGATTGTCACTGTCTACCGCTAAGACCAAGAGGTCTTCCAGATCAACTTCAAACTCGGGAATATCCTGCGGGTTGGCCCTAATCGTTTCTTGTTCGGCTAGTTTTGCTTTTTGATCGACTATGTTATTTTGTGTTCTGTCTGCACTTCTACAATTTTTGGCGAAATGGCCTTTAAGACCACACGTGTTGCAATTCCTATCTCTAGCAGGGCATGAAGTAAGGTGGCCCTTCTTGAACTGTTGACCACAATTTCTACATTTATTGATTTCTACAGTATTTAAAGTGGGTTCAATTTTTACATATTGTGGTTTTTGTACAGGATTGAATACAGAAATTTTAAGTACTGGTGGAAAATCTTCGTACCTCTCATGAACGAGTACATGTGCTTACACGTTTTCTGGGGTCAAATATTCGATGCATAATGTTTTTTTTGACTCTCGACGTTTTGTGATGAAAATGTCCCTGACTAATTCTGCCTCAAATTCGCCAACTTTGGCCAGTTCTGCGAGAGTTTCGCGGAACTTTTCTTGTGACTCGTGATCGTTTTGTCTTCGGCCAAAAAATTAGTATCTCTCGTAGGTCAGATTTAAAACTACAGTGAATGTTGTTTTTAGTAGATCCCAAAATTTTGAAAAGCTTTTTTCCCTCCTTTTCCGAGTGCTGAGTATAATTGTGACTTTAACTTCTTGTCAATATCACCGATCTGAAGTCCATTAAACTTCGCGTTGTCTTCTGCTCTCCTCTTTCTCACCTCTTCGTTGTAGACTTGTAGAGCTTGTTTCTATCGTTCTTCTATTTCGGATTTCGGCCTGACGGGACTGATAATTGGAAGGTTCCACTATTTCTTAGATGGGTATATTAGTTCGGATCTTGCCGGACGGTTAATTACTTCTTCGATATCTACCGAATCTTTAGCAATGATTGTCAATTGAAAAATGTTGACCCTCGTTTGATGCGTTATTCCAAAAACAGGGCCTCTGCTAAAAATTTGGATTTAATAGATAATTAGGTTAGACTTGGTTAACTTGAACGAAGATTAGTTTAAGACTTGATATGTTGAGGACCTCTACTACCGAATAGTAGACTTTTATCGAAGACTAGATTACAAGACGTGGGGTTAATAAGACTACGCTAACTAAAAACGAAAGATTAAGAAGGCTGAATTAAGATTAGTTTTGATAACAAGATTGGTTGCACTTAGAACGCTTAGTGACTCCAACTTCAGATATATCAAAAGTCGTTGTGCTTTTGGCTGGTGTTTGGCTAATTAACAATAAGTAAATGATCTACATTAAAAAATAAAAGATCGCTAATAAATGATATACTTTTTGACAGACGGACCCTAAAATTTTCTAAAGACGCCTTTGGCGCCAATCTATAGTAATTTTGAGGGGGGAGCGCGCATTTTGGCATTTTGTTAAAAATTTTCCTGCGGCGCAGAAAATTTGGTCAAATTAGTGTCTCTATCGTGGTTTGGGAGAGCTCAGAAAATCAATTAAGTCAACCAAAAAAAAGTGGACAACAAAATTTTCAAGTTTTTTTGAAAATCCGCCCGCAACCACTCGAGAAATTCCCAGATCCGCGCCTGGTAATATTAAAAGGAACCTTTGGACAATGAGGAGTCAATTTCCTGAAGAGAGTCGCCTTCGCAACACTCTCAGTCTCTTTTAATCCGCCGTTGCTAACAACTTAGCAAATTTTAACTAGATTTCATGGCCTCCATTTTTTAAGGCATTTTTCAGGCCTCCATTCTTTTTCACAGTTTTTACGGCACTTACAGTTTTTGCCGTGTTTGTCGCAGTCCAGACACTCTCCGGTGAGTCTGCCACAGAACTGGTCTGAATCACAGGCACAGGTGCTGTCACAGTACTTACCATAGAAACCCCTCTTGCATTCCTCGTAGATTATCGAACAGTTGCCCGGGTCGCGCGGGTTGTCCACGCACCTAAATTAAAATACCGTAAATAAAAATAGCTAAGAGTTATGATCGGTAAATCCGATGGTTCCCGGGTCGAGATCCCGCTCAAAAACCGCTCAAGATATGAGCAGTTTGAGCGGTTTTTCAGCAAGATTTGAGCGGTTTGGGCGGTTTTTTTTTTGGAAAAACCGCTGAAACCGCTCAAATCTTGCTTAAAAAACCGCTCATTTCTTGCGGTGATTTTTGAACGGTTTTTCAAGCAAGATTTGAGCGGTTTTTTAGCGGTCTTATAAAGAAAACCGATTAAAACCAACAAAAAGGCCTGGAAAGGTAATGTGACCCCGGGTTGACCTCCATAAACCGAAAATGCTTATTTTAAATTTCCCCACACCGAAAAAGCTTATCATACAATTGCCTGCATCAAATGTATGGAAACATGCTAATCATACAATTTTCATACAGATTCAAAAAACCATTGAAAAAAGTTTCTCCGGCTATTTGAACCAAATACAACAGTCTGGTGATGAAAAATAATAACGTTTATTTTTTTTGAAAAAAAAAATGGTTATCATACAATTTCCATTTATGAAAATTGTATGATAACCATTTTTTCATGGATTGCAAGATTTTCAGAAATTGTTCAAACTTGTTTATAAACAAATTTAAATTATTTAAGAGTGCTTTCGCTCAATTTAAAGGACATTGCTCATCAAAAACGAAAATTTAATTTTAAGCTAAAAAAACAGTTATCATACAATTTGCATATATGAAAATTGTATGATAACCATTTTTTCATAAAAGGCAAGATGTTCAGAATAATGTTAAAACTTGTTTTTAATCGAATTTAAAGCAATTAAGAGTGCTTTTGCTCAATTTAAAACACCTTGCTCATCAAAAACGAGGTTTTAAAACCAGGTTTTTTGCTCAGTTTTAATCGTCACAAATTGTTAGCTTACGACGAGTAAAACTGAGATCTCGAAGGTCGGAGCCACACAGTTCTTCTTCTCCGAAAATGACTCGGGGTAGGGTTGGGGTTAGGGTTAGGTTAGGATTAGAATTTCTTAAGAATAATTTCACAATTTTTGGAAAACAGAATTGAAAAAAAAAAAAAAAAAAAAAAACAAATTTCTATATATGAAAAAACGCTTATCCTGGAGTTTTTTTTACAATTTTCTGAGTCTATGAAACTAAAAAATTGTAGGACAAGCATTTTTTCATATATGGAAATTGTAGGATAAGCATTTTTGGTCAACTCACGCTAAGATACAGTTGAAATACTATCTACAATTTAAAAAAAGTGCTTAACCGTTCTCAAATCAAGCAATATTTTTTTCGATGTCTTGACCAAAAACAATGTGAGCGACTTTTTTCAAATGCTCGAGCAAAATAACCACTGGAAAACTTGTAAGATTTGAGCGGTTTGAGCGGTTTTTTTAGACAATTACGCTCAAAATCTTGCTTCAAAATGAGCGGTTTGAGCGGTTTTTGAACGGTTTATCTAGAAAAAAACGCTCAAAAACCACGCAAAATTTGAGCGACTTGAGCGGTTTTTTTAGACAATTACACTCAAAATCTTGCTTCAAAATGAGCGGTTTGAGCGATTTTTGAACGGTTTATCTAAAAAAACCGCTCAAAAACCGCGCAAGATTTGAAAGGTTTTGAGCGGTTTATCTAAAAAAACCGCTCAAAAACCGCGCAAGAATTGAGCGGTTTTTTTAGATAAACCGCTCAAAACCGTTCAAATCTTGCGCGGTTTTTGAGCGGTTTTTTTTATAGATTAACCGTTCAAAAACCGCTCAAACCGCTCATTTTGAAGCAAGATTTTGAGCGTAATTGTCTAAAAAAACCGCTCAAATCTTGCTTCAAATTAGGTGAAAAATCACGACTCGGGTTTGAAAGTGTGGAAGGTAGATGACAAAAAAGATTGGATAGGCTCTCAATATATGTTCCAGATCTTAGCGAATATCATAGCTAAATATGGTAGCTAAAATTAGCTACATCAATTAATATCCTGGGTTGACCTCCATAAACAGAAAATACTTATCTTAGAATTCCATACACCGAAAATGCTTATCATACAACTCAAAAGTATGGAAAAATGCTAATCGTACAACTTTCATACAATTTCAAAAAATCATTGAAAAAAGATTCGAACTAGTTTCTGCGGCTATTATAACCAAATAAAACAGTCTGGTGATAAAATTGTGTTTCAAAAGTAATTTTGAAATCTCCCTCAATTTTTTTTGTTTTTTTTTAAACTGCAAACCAATTTTGTACCAAAACAAACTCTTCCACAAAAAATTTTTTGCATGCGAAGTTTTTTTTTGTGTGCATAACGTGGTCCGCGATACACTAACTTTTTTCCTTTTCGCATAATAATTCTTTTTCAAAAAAAGCAAGAAACTGCTATATCTTTTGTATCGCAGGTTTTTGTATGCCTTGATCAATGTCTGATAAATTGAAAATTCTAATTTTAAAAATAGTCTTTTTCGAAAATTTTTGCCAACATTTAAAAGTTTGATGCTTTCAGTATATAATTTGTGGAAAAAATTCTTACACAATCCTAGTGGTTTCCAATGCATTGTAAATGCCAGGCGGTCAACCTTCTAGAGACTCTAAATTTGAGTAAACCATGGATTTCTTCAGTTGTGTTTGGCCAGGAGACCTTAAAAAAATCAACTTTTTGGTTTATGAAAAAATGCTTGTCCTACAATTTCGAAAATCTAAAGAATTATCAAAAATTGTATGATAAACATTTTTTCATATATGAAAATTGTAAGGTAAGCATTTTTGGTCAACCCGGGATGAAAATTGATAGATGCGAACCGCGCAAAAAAACCACCCTTTAATACTTGTTTAAGACACCCATTTTCAGAACTAGGATCCACCCCTTAATGCATTTAACACATCCAAATTTTAAATGCGTCTTCTAAAAATAACCAATAACAGCCTATATTTTATCTTTTATCAAAAAATTGCTGCTGTCTAATTTGTTTGTGCAGTAAAGTTCATTTTTATCAATTTTGTTGAGCTCAGAAAATCAATTGTGCATTTTGTGAATTGTAAGCGGATTCCGCATTAAGGATGCTCCTTTTGTTCTTCTTTTGTTCTTTCATTTCCCTTGATCATTCCGACAACATTTTAACATGTTTAAAGACTTGTCTCTAGAATCCAGGAACATAGAAACACAAAATTGTGCGCCTATCCAGTGCACAGTATGGCCTCGTAATGGTCGACCCAAAGAAAGTCAAAAAACGTTTCTATTTCTTAATCAATTTTTGAGTCCGCCG